TGGTGGTGGTGGTGATGATGATGGTGGTGGTGGTGGTGGTGATGATGATGGTGGTGGTGGCGATGATGATCGTGGTGGTGATGATGGTGGTGGTGGTGGTGATGACGATGATGATAGTGGTGGTGATGATGATAGAGGTGGACCTGGTGGTGATGATGATGGTGATGGTGATGCTTCAATCGAATGGACTTGTGTTAGAAACGTCATTATCGCCACAAGTAGGCTCCTAATATAAATGCCAACAAAAATCACGGGCTATCTCATGCTAGTAGCCCGGCATCGATTTTTTTCTAAGTGTCGAGTGAAATTAGTTTTTCTAACATTTAACCGGCTACGGGCTAATAATATAAATGCCGACAAAAACGACGGGCTACCTGTCAAAAATCAGGGCTACCTCATGCTAATAGCCCGGTATCGATTTTTTCTAAGTGTCGAGTGAAATTAGTTTTTCTAACAAATAACCGGCTACGGGCTAATAATATAAATGCCAACAAAATGCTGCCTGTCAAAATCACGGGCTACCTCATGCTAGTAGCCCGACATCGATTTTATTCTAAGTGCAGTGTCGAAATTTATATAGCACACGATACTTAGAAAAAAATCGATGCTGGGCTACTATAGTATGAAGTAGCCCGTAATTTTGACAGGTAGCCCGTTGGTAGCCCGTTGTTTTTGTTGGCATTTATTGCTGCCGCAGCGAGCGAGCCTGAAGCGAGCGAGCAAGGCAGCAGACCTAATCTTTATGTATATGTATTACCGTATTTACTCGATTGAGCGCCGCCCCCGAATGAGCGCCGCCCCCAAATGAGCGCCGCATTTGAGATCAAATTTTTTTAAAGAGCGCCGCCCCCGAACGAGCGCCGCACTAAGCAATGTAACAATTTTCCACCGTCAAAATGGGGACATTTAGTGACAAAGACATTCAAAACTTGTTTATTTTATTGTTAAAAGTTCTTGATATAATTCACAAATAAAGATTTTTTAAAGAGCGCCGCCCCCGACTGAGCGCCGCCCTCGAATGAGCGCCGCATCTGAAGCTCTGAAAATTTAAAGAGCGCCGCGGCGCTCAAACGAGTAAATACGGTATATATATATATATATATATATATATATATATATATATATATATATATATATATATATATATATATATATATATATATATATATATATGCAGATGAAATCTCGATCGTTTCGGCGTATTTCGACCTACCACAATGCACTGTTTCCGGGCCGGCAGGCTATTCTTGTCTAATAAACAGGCATAAGGCAAACAAGCAATGTGATCATCTTTCATCTTTGGTTTCTATTAACTATGTTTTTACGGAAAGCCATAGTGATCAAACGGCGTTTTGTCGATACGCAGTGGTTCGAGCATAATATACGTGGTGCTTTCGCCATTATACACGGTGCGTTCGCCATTATACGCAGTGTCATACATGCCCATATATATATACAGGGTGTATCAAAATAAACGCAATTCATCTTTTGTGCTTAAGAACTTTCGAAATACTATTTCTAGTTAAACGCTTTTAGGCTTACTTCAAAGCCTAAAAATACATATACATATACATATACATATACATATACATATACATATACATATACATATACATATACATATATACATATATACATATACATATACATATACATAT